ATGAGAGAGAAAAGAGAGTACAATACCATGGCTTATGAAAATAATACACTGTCAAAAGATAAAAGAAAATTTTGTAAAGTTATTGAAGAATAGGAGTATAACATTTTAAGTTATGTAAAATATGAACTGAGATCACAAAATAATTGAAAAAGAAATTGAAAATATCAAAGAGACAATCCTAATTTAGCTTATATATATATATATATATATATATATATATAGTCTCTTCATTTATGCATACAAAGACTCACCTATTTACATTACTGCCCTAATCTTTATTCTCATATTCACAACGTTTCGGCTGTTATATGCTCCAGCCTTCTTCAGGTGATTGGAATTTTAAAATAACCTTTATTTTCATCCACAGGGTAGAGTGCCATACCTCTCAGATGTCCTGTGCTATCTCCTTTAAATCAACTCTCCAAGATTTTTGTTCACCACTGCCACAGTCAGGTATTGAACTCACAACTCTTTGACCTAGTGGATAAAAGTGTCAGTTGAATCCAGTGACTTAGCCCAAAGAGTTGTAAGTTCAATACCTGGCTACAGCAGTAGTGAAAAAAAAAAAAAAACTCAAAGAGTTGAGTTAAAGCATGATAACTGACACATCCAGAAGAAGTATGGCACTCTATACTGGTGGACGAAATAATGGGTTCGCTTCAAAATTCCAATCACCTGAAGAAGGTCCGAGACATACAGCAATTGAAAACGTTGTGAACATGACAATAAAAAAAGAGTAAAACCGTCCAAATAATGTATATGCAAATGATTACAATACCTCATCTCAGAAATATCAAAAGATATTGAAAGGCTCACCTGTAGTATGTACTCGCATGGAAGAGGCAGAAATGTCGGTAGTGATACAAAAGTATGGGATCCATAAGTCTTCTATTTGTCGATCTTGAAATAAATTCTCTAAACTTTTGTTGAAGGTACTTCCTGCAAAAGTGATAAATAGTGAGTGACTCATGGGCCTTGTAATGGGTGAACATAAGTATATAAAAAAAAATTCAAATTTTCATGATTATCAAATAGCTTTCTGCATGCATCTATCAAGGAGGCACGGTGGAGTAATGGATAGCAGCTTGGATTGAGGAATCGGAGAGCCGAGTTCGAATTCCAGTCGAATCCATTACATTCACTTATGTGCTAATACCCTTGGGAAAGGTGTGAATCCTCTTCTTCTCCCTCCAGCTATGGGTAAATAGCAGGACAGACTGAGTTCTATAGCCTTGAATGGCAACTGGTCTAGGAGAAGGAAAACTTCAAAAAAAATTCAAAACCTGCGGAAGGTCGTTTGGGGACCTTGTGGCATGTAGTGCACCGGGTCTCTGTAATCGGCCCTTCAAAAAGTGTGGATGGTCCTGCACAAAACCTTCACCACTATAATCAGATCTCATGTGCTATACATGCAGTTGGGTACCGCTTGTGAATTCCAAATTCCCATGAAACTCCAATATTGGAGCCGGCTCAACCCACTTCAGGTGAATGCTGTTACAAGAAGAAGAAGAAGATGCATCTATCAAGTAAATACAAGTATTTTCTGGTTTTAGTCATAATTATAAGAATTACAAATATATGACTAAGATTGTAATAATTGTGGCAGAAACGTCTGCATAGATCACAAGTAAACTTGTTCATGGCTTGAAATGTAAAAATAAAAAAAATTTAACAGTTGAGAAGGCATTTGATTGATCATAATTTTTAACAGATCACACTGAAAATAAAATTAAACCTATTTTTGTAGATTTGAATTTTTTTTAAGCTTACAAATTCATTTTTTTAATGTTAGCCTTTTAATTAGACTGATCAAAATAAAAAAAAATTGTCTTTTCATTTTTATTTATCCTATAAAAACCAGACAGAACACTAAAGACAATATAGAACAAGAAAATAAAAAAACTAAATGATATATTTATATTTTAAATGGTGTTTGAAGACCTCACAGTACTATATATATATATATATATATATATATATATATATATATATATATATATATATGAATAATAAAATTATTGGTAATCCATATGGAATTTCCAAGAGGATATAGACCCATTGTGAGCTCTATGTCAAAGAGAACAATAATTATTATATAATGTAAAACAAACACTTAAAATACCATAGGTGATAATTTATTTCATTGAAGTTGATAAAATACAACTTCAAATATTCATATCTGTAAATGAAATGTTTTGGTTTACAGGTCTGAAGATTTGAAGCCATTTTTTTTTTATCAACGTCAACGAAATAAATATTACCTATGGTATATTAAGTGTTTGTTTTTCATTATATAATTATATATATATATATATATATATATATTAAAAAGGAGATTCTGGAGTTAGTCATTATCTTTTATGAATTACAAGCATATTACTAAAAGAAAAAAAAGACAAGAATAATTGCAGTAAAAACATCTGCAAAGACCACAAGTAACTTTGTTCAGTGGAGAAAATAAACAGTGGAGAATGCGGCAAATTGATCATAAATTGTTTTAAAAGATCATATTGACAATAAACAAACTAATGATGGCTGATTTAAAATTTGCCAGACCATAGAGTGTCACATAAAAAGGTTGGACTGTACAAGGAGTTTCCGGTCTTATTTATATTTGTGTGAATTACAAGTACATGACTGTAAAATAAAGTTTGGTTTATTTGTTTGTTTTACCAGTATATCAACTCTCGTGGGTCATTTAATGCTGTAAATATTTTCTTGTTTATTGCTTGGAATTTAAAAAAAAAAATTAAAAATACTGTTGTAAAGGAATCAAATTGTTTATAAATGGTTTTAAAATTTTTATAGTCCCAATGTCACAATTCAGAATACTTAGTAACTTGTGAAATATCTGGAGTCCATTTAAAAACTATACTCAAGAAAAACAATGCAAAAGAAAAAAACTAAAAATACCAACTGATAACAAGATATTTGTAATCAATCCTGACCTGATGTCTTGACTTCAATCACTTTCTCACCAACTTTATGTGGCTTCCCTCTGTCTTTTCTACAAATATTTTCATGGCAATTATTCTAATGAATTTTTCCCTTAGTGCCTCAACTGTATGAACTTAAGTGTGCTACTAGATTGGCAATTAGGTCTCACAGTTGAACCAGCTAGATCAGTGGTTATCAACCTTTTTTTTTGCCCAATGCACTCTTTTCACCATATCATGAGCTCTTTTCCCTGATGCCTCTATCACATAAATTTATGCTTGCTACTGGATTGGCTATTAGGTCTCACTGTTTTACGGTTGAACTAGCTAAATACAACTGTATGTTCTATTTTAATAGGTTTCTTTTCTTGTAATTCTGACTTGTGGAATTCCCCTCTGATTTGCTTCCTTGCCACCTACAACCTTCAAAAATTTAAATTCAATCCCAATTGCCATTTTCTGTCTTTCTGAATCCTGTTCTTTTATTGTCTTATGAAAGTCTTATTCTATTTACCTCCTGGTAACCTCTTGCATCTTAGTGGCATTATCACCTTACTTGAGGTGAAATGATAAAAAAAAAAAAAAAAAGAAAAATATGCAATCTTTAACATTTGTGTCTGCAAATAAATGGGGTATCAAAAGGACGTTTTTTTCCTTGACACTGCTATTATTTTAACTACCTTCACTCCTTAGAAATGTTTGTTTTAAAAAGTGATGATTAGAATTTTAATAAAATCAAATCATATGAAAGTGAATTTATAAATTTTCTTTGTTCTTGAGAATTGACACCAAAAATAATCAACACTATTATATTGTTTACTGGAATGGTTGACAAAACACCGGCTAATTGCCGATTAATTCAAACTTTATAAAACTCCCTTCAGGGTCATTTTGTTCATGAATACTATAAGATTATTCCAAGTATTTCCTCTTACCTGTGAACATAGATGTGACAGGATAAGTAAGGTCTAGGATTTTTTTCCATAAGGAAGTCATCTCCTGTAAATAAGAAATATTAAGCATCAAACAAGTCCAATATCTTCCCAAATTTCAAACATATGAAGCGATTTTGAAGCTGAAGATTAAAACACAATCTTGACAGAAAAGAAATTCAGTTGCCTATATTGGCCACAACATTTGTTTATCTATCTAGGAGTTTGTAAAATATGATTGTGGATAAACATGAAAGAAATCTATTCTCACCCTGTATATATAATACAGGGAGGTACTAAAGATTTCTCAGCCCAACCAAATAACTATTTAAATAATAAATTTCTGATGTTTGGTCATAAATATTGACAGGAGCAAAGAACAAGGTGGGTGAGGTGGGGGTGGCTAATGTATAAAAAGACACAGGAACAGAGGACACAAGGACATAAAGGCAAGTGAACAAAACAAAGGATACATATGGCGAGGCAACAGGACACACAAGGGCAAGGCAACAGAGGACAAGGGAACAAAAGATATATATTGCAAGGGGGACACAAGGGCACAAGGGGGACACAAGACACAAAAGCAAGGGAACAGAACAAAGGACACAAGGGCTAGGGAACAAAGAATACATATGAGCAGGGGAACAAACGACACAAGGGGCAGGGGGACAAACGACACAAGGGGCAGGGGGAACAAAGGAAAAAAGCAAGGTTTTGTTTAAGTTTATCTCTCCTAGCCTTTGTCCAGCAAAGGCTACTCACAAACAGAACTTGTATGCTAAATGTCAATTGACCCCTACAAAAAGGATCATCAATCATTTGACAGGTCTCATTTTTTTAACCTGCTTATTGTCTAGCTGCCCACACCTCAGAAACTTGCAGAAAAGAGGAACCAATTTAATCACCAATTACCTGACATTCAGGTATCAAAGAGTTGATGGTGACCAACTGACACCTGAGATTCCAAATTTTTGGCCAATTAACAAACTTTTCAGAGGATATAAAAGTAAAGAACAGACAATGCAATAATGAACTTAATCAAGTCCACACATTTTACATCTCCCATCTATCTGCCGAGTGCCTCTTGGCACATAAGGCCTCTAGAAAACATCTCCACTCATCTTTGTCTGCAGTGCCACTCGTGCCTCACCCCAGGATCACCAGTCTATTGCTGGTCTCTCCTTCATCATAGTTATTTTCTGTGTCATTCATGATCTACTAGTTCTCATTTTTTCTTCAGAGGCCCAGGTCATTGCCCCATTGCAGTTGTTTCAATCTTGCCCTCATTTTCATTTTCTACTAACAACTAATAGGAGTAGACAGATTTGCTTATCACCCGGCTTACACTCCTTGCTGTGTCTTTTCAACAGGAGTAGAAGTTTCTCCCATGTTTCCACATTCTCTTTCACTCCTGGTAAATCCTTGCATCTTAGTGGCATTATCACCATTCTATGATTGATTCGTTCTTTAAAAACCAGAAAATATTTTTAGATTGTAAGAATTTTTTTTTCAAATGATAATGGTTTAAGGATATGAGTCTTACTATTTAACCCATAGCTGGGAGGGGGAGAAGAGGTGGATTCATACCTTTCACAAGGGTATTAGTGTATAACAAACCCAACTGGAATTGAAACTCAGCTCTCCAATTATCAATTCTGAGCCATTATACATATCACACCACCCACACATCCAAGCTTACAGCACCTGGTATTCCCAAGGTGCTGTACCATCTAGGTACTGACCAGGCTACTTACATTGTTTAGGGTGAAATGATTAAAAAACAAAAATATTCCCAAGAAAAATCATTAATCTAAATATGTGATAAACCCAATATGTTTGCATATTCTTTCATATGAAATATCTAATTTTTAATGGTGCCAGTGCAAGGGAGATAGCTATGTAGGGTGGCAGTGTCTTTGTTACAATAATGGCAGACTGTTCAGATGAATAATGCAATGAGATTGGACACTCGCATGTGAAAAACTTTGAATAGTAGTAAACATTTAACAGAATATGTCTGTACTAGTTTACTCATGGCATGTGAAGCTACTGGACATCAAGTCGGGGATATGTTTTTTCTAATGTTATTAATTATCACTTTCTGGAATAAAGTCTGGAGAGCATGAATGGAGAATAAAAAAACTGAAGGTGGCAGCATATAACAGCTTGACGATAGGGTGCCCAACTCAGACTTGTTACATATAGCAACTTAGTGGTAGCATGGCAGAATGGCATCTGACATGAAAGAGGCATGTCATTGAATCTCTCCATAAAAAAAAAAAAAAAAAAAAAAACTGCACCCACTGAGATTTGACACTTGCTGAACATTTCTGGGCAGACCTGCACAACTGTTAACCTTTAAAATGTTCAGTACTCACAAAATGCATACCCAATGGTGGTAACTACATGGTAAAAACAGGATTTTTATAGCTGAAGAATTTCTCTATCCAGCAATGTGATTATGCTCTATTTGTCTGTTGTAGTTTATGAAAATAGTTTCCCTGTATTTGTTGTACTTTCCTTAGAAAGAAAGAGGAGGCATTACTTTTGGAGCAACAGTGTGCAGCCAATGATGGTGATTATGTGAAAAATTACTGTTTTTATAGCTGAAACCTTGCTCTATCCAATGGTGTCATTGTTCTTCCTGTATTTCTTCTAATTTCTGTGGAAAGAAATAGGAGGCATTACTTTTGGAGTGACAGTCACCAACATTGGCTATGCACTATGTGGTAAAATAGTGTTTTTGTAGGTGAAAACTTGCTCAATCCAACAGTTTCATTGTGTTTCCTGTGTCTTTTCTAATTTCCATGGAAAGAAATAGGAGGCATTACTTTTGGAGTGACAGTGCATAGCCAATGATGGTGATTATGTAGAAAAATAGTGTTTTTGTAGCTGAAACCATGTTCTATCCAAAAGGAACCATTGTACTCCTTGTATCTGTTGTAGTCTGTGTTTAAATAAATAGGAGGCATTACTTTTGGCACAACAATGTATAGCCATTAGTGAAAAACTGATTTGGAGCTGAAAACTTGCTCTATCCAATGGTATCATTGTGCTCTTTCTATTTTGTTCCCATGGAAATAAGTTGGAGGCATTCATTTTTGAGAATCTCTTAAGGATAAATGGTGACCACATCACTTAAAACTGATAATAAAAAAGATCAAGATACTAGTCCATATAATTCATAGAAAATAAATTTACAAAGCTTCTTACCTTCGACCATTCTCGGGCTCTCTGGACAGATCTTGTCACATCCCTCGATTCTGCCCAGATAGCCCCCATTATCGATCCAATACTCGTTCCTCCGACCATATCAATGGGAATGCCAGATTCAGCCATGGCTCGGATCATTCCCATATGAGAAATACCTCTGGATTGAGAAAAGAAAAAAAAATGTTATATAGGAATAAAGTGTCGCTGCCAACACTGGAGTTTGAACACAGATCACCAGAGAGCAAACATAAGCAATCCTATTTTGAATAAGCAGATCATGTGATGGTAAAGGAAATGTATATATGGGAATTAGCGTGGCGTCTAAGTGATCACTATATGGATTACTATTTGGTGGTTACTTTTCAAGTGAGTATTATCGAGCAAGTACTATTAGTGCGTGTGTAATTTGAAGGCATCTGACAGCTGTATTGTTCAACGGCATTACTATAGTTGTATCTGCGATTACAAAGTCTCTACTATAATGAGGATTACAAAAGTGACAACGAGTATTCATTGGCATTACAAAAGAGGCAACGAGCATTCGTTGACATCACAAAAAAAAAAAGGAAAGAAAGACAAAAGTTTACGGAATAAGATTTTTTGATTTTGAAAATTAAAAATCAAATTCAAATTAAATTAAAACCAAAATTATCCAATAAAAAAATAAAAAAAAGAAAAAAAAAGCTATTTATATGAAAAAAATTACCTGTAATATATTCAATATAATTCCCTAACCTCCTAAGTTACACATCAGTATTAAGCATGATCCAATGGAAGCAAAGAATGTGGTCAATTTATACAGCTGCTTACATATGTTGGTGCCATGGTATTCCTGTCGATCAGTCTATTCAGTTAACACCCAGCAGAAAAGTTACCAGCCACAGTACCAGGTTAGTAATAGTATTAGATTTAATTTCAGACCCACAAATCTCATCCAACCTCACTTCCCAACAAGCTTTCAATAAAATAGGTTTTTAACCAAAATCTAAAAGATAGTCAAGTTACACACCACTTGTAAAAATAAATTTAAATAGTTAAATACATCTTTTAAAATATCTGGAAAAGAATAAATGATAAAAGAGAAATAAAAGTTATTTCAGCTTTTAATGAGTCTAACTTCACACTTAGAACCAAGTCTCTGTGGAGTGATATATATTTAACCCCTTCCATGGTTTCTGCTATCATCTAACCTAGATCTCCACAAAGCATGTGGACCCAATGCCATCCCTGTAACAGTCATTAAGAAGTGTGCTCCCAGACTGGCTCCTGTTCTCTCTAAACTCTATAATGTCTTGCTGCCTCCTCTTTTCCTGACTGATGGAAGTCATCATCTGTAGGTTCCAGTTTTTAAGAACTCTGGTGAACCATCTGACTCTTCTAACTATTAGCCGTTTAGGCTTGTACCTCTTTCTGAGAAACTCCTAAAGGCCCTAATCAATGATGAATTGATACATCATCTCTCGTCACAGGGTCTTTTGTCAGACAAGCAATATGACTTTTGTTTCTCCAAATCAATTGCTGATGTACTGACAATAATTGTGAAAAGAGTATCATTCTCTAGATCAAAACTGTGAAGCCAAGACTGTAGCATTGGACATCTCAAAAGCCTTTGATAGGGTTTGGTATAAAGGTCTTATCCAGAAGCTGAAAAGTTTGAGTGTCTCGAGGCAAATTTATGAATTGATCCAGTCTTTCTTATCACATCATGAAATGATAGTTATCCTGAATGGTCACTTGTCTAGATCCTTTTGTACTAATGCAGATATCCAACTACCCAGGACTCCATCCTTGGTCCTATGGTCTTAATTTTCTCAACTTGGCATCTACACTGATGATACAACCATTTACCCCTGCCTCAATAACAAGGCTGATCAGTCCAACAAGGTCAAAATGGCAGCCAATGTCCAAAACAACCTCAAGTCAATTGTTAACTGGGGCAAAAGATGGCTTGTTAATTTTAATGCCTCAAAAATGCCATTAAATCATCTGAGAGCCCCCCACTCTCTGCCTTCCATTGACATGGCTGATACTAGCCTCCAGAAAAGTGGCTCATTTTACCTTCTCTGGCTCATGTTCTCAGCTGACTTGAAGTGGAAGGACTATTGAATCCATTGCTAAGTCAGCTGCTAAGTTGGTTCACTGTGTGAGACTATTTATCACTCCAGAATCTATCTTACATATCTATGTCTCCCATTCACCCATGCTTAGAATATTGCTACTACATATGGTCTGGTGCCCCTGCAATTTACCTTGAGCACCTTATCAAGTGATGGTGTTGAACGTAGAATAATTCAACACCATCACTTGATAAGACACCAGAAGTGTTGTTGAAACAAAATGGCTACTTTTGTAGCGATTTTATAACATATTTATTTTTATAATTTTCAAATAAGTAATTATATTTGCTCTATTCTGTATTAAGCACTCTTAAGAATAGTATTTGTTGGTTATTGGAATTTATTCCGTATACACCAATCCTATACTTGGGTGAGTGTGTGTGTATGTATATATATATATATATATATATATATATATATATATATATATATATATTTATTTAAGACATTTTTATGTTTTATTTCTTTTTTATAGACAGGCGTAAATGCTATTTAATACTGTTTATTATAAACAGAGCATTTACTTAAATACTTGTATCTATAAAAAAAGAACGTTAAACATAAAATGTCTTTAATAAATAAATTGTCGGACTTTGTCAATTCTTAATGTATGACGTCATTTGTTTACATTTGATACGAAAGCAGTTATGAATGTACGAGATTCATGGAAGATTGAAGTTTATAAGCAGTAAATTCGACCCTTGCCTGAACAGCTCCTTTGTGGCGAGTCAGTTAAGGCGTCAGCGTAAAACAACAGTTCCATATAGGATGCAGGTTCGAATCCTGTCAAAGGGCGAATATTTTCTATGAAAATTTCTCGGACATTCAGGCGGTAAATGTTATTTAATACTGTTTATTATAAACAGAGCATTTACTTAAATACTTGTATCTATAAAAAGAATGTTAAACATAAAATGTCTTTAATAAATAAATTGTGGGACTTTGTCCATTTCTTAATATATATATATATATATATATATATATATATATATATATATATATATATATATATGTGAATCACTCATACAAAAACATATTAGTGAAGTTAATGATATAAATGTAGAGAATACATCTTCACAAACAGATTTATTAAAATTACATTAACCTACGAACATCTAGATGAATGTTGTGATCCCTGTTTTTAATAAATTCAACTTGTATAAGGTCTTTTTTTTTTGCTACTACTTTCATCTGTTCATATAGACGTCAGCAGCATGGAAATTGATTTTTTTTTTTTTGAATATATGTTTTAATGGGACATGAAAGATTAGATGAATTAATGTTTTTTTAGAAATTTTGGAGCATGCATATATATATATATATATATATATATATATATATATATATATATAAACACACTACTATTTTTGTTTATATTTATTTCCTTAAAACATTCCATAAAATAATTTTAGTAAAATCTTTTCAAAAAAGAAATATTTAGCTGATTGGTGTGTCACAGACAATGAGGTGCTTATGGTTTGGTTTTTGAATCTGCAGATGGTGATATCCTGCTGCATAAAAAAATTAAAAAAAAATAAAAATTATAAACTTGGAAAAAAGAAAAAAAGTCAGCTATATACCTTGCACCACCGCCTCCTAACACTAATCCAATGGAAGTGCCTGTCAAGAAGCGTGCCAACCGGGAGAAGTCTGTTAATTTATCAGGTTCCGACTCAAATAGTTTTGCATAGACCTCTTTCTGCAAAGATTTAAAAGAAAAGAAAATTTAAAAGAAAAATTAAAAGAAAAAAAAAAAAAAAAAAAGATTCTTTTTTTATGTTTATCATTAAAATGCAAATGACTTAAACAATGGATCAAACATAAGAAAAAGAAAAATGTTGTCCTGAACGGGATTCTCTTCCAGTTCTTTCCAGATGAACACTGTATAATATTCATGCATTACACCCTAATCTTTATTCAGTAAAAATTTCATTGCTAATCCTGCATTACTTTTTAAGTAATACGCATTTATGTCTGTTTCCATTCCTTATATTATAGCTGCTACTGTATATATATATATATATATATATATATATATATATATATATAAAGTGAACATAGAAGTCAACACTTAGGCGACAGTCTGTTTCATGCTATATGCAATCGTCAGGCCACGTGTGCTGTTATTTTCTCGGCTATTTATATATATACGGGTTAGTGGTGCATTGTGGGTATTCTATTATAAGCGGTTATTTTTTACCGGAAGTCCTTTGTTCATTTATTTGGGTCAAGTTATATTGCTCGTTTTTATTTATTTTTTTATTTTATTTTATTTATTTATTTATTTATTTTTTTTTTTGTTTCTTTTTTATTTATTTATTTATTAACGTAGTAAAAATTTGTTTATATCACGTATTTAACAGTTTTGTTTTGGTTTGAGGAATTTAATTAAAGCTATTTGTTCAATTTTGGGGTTGGTTGTTTGTAGTTCATTCTAACTATTATTTTTTTTGGGGGAACAGTTTTTTTAATTTGGGATTGGTTTGCCTATTTATTTACTTGGATGAAAATAACAGCACACGTGGCCTGGACGATTGCATATAGCATGAAACAGACTGTAAGCCTCTAAGTGTTGACTTCTATGTTCCTTTTTATATTTACACACTCTATCTCTGATATTGAGCACTCCCATTATAGCCCTTTATATATATATATATATATATATATAAAGTTAATGCAAAAATATTAGTGTAATAATGTCGTTTTGGCGTATTTTTAAAAAGGTCAAAAAATGACTTATTTGCATATTTCTTATATATATATATATATATATATATATATATATATAAAAACTAAAATATATATAGGTAAATAGTGTCTATATATATATATATATATAAAAACTAAAATAGATAAATATAGGTAAATGTATATGCTGAGTGTCTATATATATATATATATAAAAACTAAAATAGATAAATATAGGTAAATGTATGAGCTAGTGTCTATATATATATATATATATAAAAACTAAAATAGATAAATATAGGTAAATGTATGAGCTAGTGTCTATATATATATATATATATATATATAAAAACTAAAATAGATAAATATAGGTAAATGTATGAGCTAGTGTCTATATATATATATATATATAAAAACTAAAATATATATATATAAATGTATGTAATTAATATATATATATATATAAAAACTAAAATAGATAAATATAGGTAAATGTATGACTAAAATATATAGAAAAAAGAAAATAATAAATATAGGTAAATGTATGAGCTAGTGTCTATATATATATATATATATATATATAAAAACTAAAATAAATAAATATAGGTAAATATAGGCTAATATATATATATATATATATATATAAAACTAAAATATATAAATATATAAAAACTAAAATAGATATATATATATATAAAAACTAAAATAATAAATATGGAGCTAAATATATATATATATAAAACTAAAATAGATAAAATAGATAAATATATATATATATATATATATATAAAACTAAAAATAGTAAATATAGGTAAATATGGCTATATATATATATATATATATATATAAAAACTAAAATGATAAATATAGGTAAATGTATGAGCTAGTGTCTATATATATATATAAAAAAAACTAAAATAGATAAATATAGGTAAATGTATGAGCTAGTGTCTATATATATATATATATAAAAACTAAAATAGATAAATATAGGTAAATGTAGCTGAGGCTATATATATATATATATATAAACTAAAATAGATAAATAGATAAATATATATATATATAATAAAAAACTAAAATAGATAAATATAGGTAAATGTATGAGCTAGTGTCTATATCTATATATATATATATATAAACAAACCTTTATCCAACTCAAATTGCTTACTACCCACTCAAGTAAGATCATCGTTTAAACTGAAGTACCAATTTCGAGATGTGCCAAAGTTCCTATGCTGTTTTGTTTAACTTCTTGATTGTGTTCCCTTTAACAGCAGTTCATGATTCAAAACGATGAGGTGACGATATTATCAATTTTATTATTAACTAGCTTAAAAGCCACACTATCAGGCGGCATTTAAGCTAGCTCCTGCAGGGGGCTCTTGATTGGGCCTTCATCACAATATGTAGAGGAACAGACGTGATAGGCAACAATAAACTACAGAAGAATTCAAAATTGATCGCTGCATTTAAGTATTGCATTAATACTTAAGCCTACCTTTTAAAGCTTTAACAATAATTCTTCTGCCACCACTTAATTTAAAAACAATTTGATGTATGTAGGTCCTTACTTTTTGTACAAACAAGTATTTCATGGGTACCTTTTGCTGGATTTCGCAATTAATTTCCCTTAAAATGCCACAAACAATCACAGTAATGAAAACTTGGGAATTCAAAATTTCAGGATTGCAGGTCCAGATCTGATGCAGAATATTTTTAATTTGCTAACAGAGTTGTCCTGATTTCAAAATGGTATGATATATTGGGCTACAGCCTCTAGGAGTAAAGTTGAAAACATTACCAATTTTATTTTAAAATACTGTAATTTGAGAACAACAATTTTCTCATTTGAACATGAGCTATTGAAAATCAGAGAGTTGCATCCCTTTAATTGCTTTTATCAGTAGAAGCTAAGATGGCGCAATCCAAAAAGAAAAATTTCTAGAATTCTTGCATTCATTTTCACACCAATGCCCAATTTGAGAAATGCATGAATCCATCTCTTCTTCCTGTCACCAGGCTATTGATGAAATAGCAGAGCAAAATAAATTCTTTGGCCTTGGTTGGTAATTAGTCAAGGAGAAAGACAAACTTGCATTTACCTGAGCCAGACTACAGCCTAACAGAATTTCTTTGCCAATAAATAGGCAGAATACAGGGTCATGTTTTCAAGGTACTCACACTTTTCTCTTTGGATTTCCGACTGAAGACTCTCTTCGGGCACCGAATGTGATGATGAGACGAACACCAACCCCGGGCATTCAGCCAATCAGCAGTCCTGCGAGGTGTGTCAGCATCTTCACGATGAAGAAGAATCAGTTCCTTTTGGGCTCTCACAGCAATGTTTTCCAACTGGGCTTCAACCTTGTAACAAAGAAAAAAAAGATTTCCAGTTTAGTAGAGAAGATTAAAAAAAAATAAATAAATAAAAAATATAATACCACAAGAACAAGTTAACTCCCAAAACTTTAACTGACATGAGTTATCTCTCCTTAGCATCCATAGCAAATGAAAACAATCCACCCTCATGGATTGAATAAACAATGGTCTGAAAATGTTTATCAAATATAACTGACCTGAAGATGGTCAGAGAATGGAATAAACAAAACATAACTAAAACTATCAAAAAAGGCTTGCACCAATTCAGAGAAATCTGCAAAAACTAACATTTATTTTGTATTTCATTTTTGAGATGAGTAATTGTCAATACACTTTAATTATTTCAAATTATTAAATGTTTTCATAGCCACAATGTTTCGACCAAGTACCCTATGGTCATCATCAGGTTTCCATTATTATAGATGCTGTTAAAAGCACAACGTTTTGGCCAGAGTTCAATCCCTGGATTAGGTAGATAAGCACTGGTTCAGCAGGAACAAACAATAATCACAGGAACATAATCAACATATCACTCAAAAACAAGGAACACCTGATGATGGCCAGAGGGTACTTGGTCGAAACGTATCTATAATAACCAAGGCGAGAACAAAAGTTTGAAATATATTAAGAAAGATTTACTTATTTACACAAGATTTACTTACTTAACATTCTTTCCAGAGTACCCATATGGTGCCAAGACCATTCCGTACCATTTTTAGATTCTCATGCAGCATAAAAATTTTACAGGCTCAGAAATAGACACTTGTTTCAACAGAGACAAATTCAAATATGAACTATAAGTAAATGAGTTATTTAATGCTGACAATATTTTTTTTCAAAAAATGTATTGCTGATAATATATTTTTTTTAAAATGTACTGCTGTTAATAATGTCTTGCAGGGAATAATTTTATCTTCAAAAATGTATTTCTGGTAATAATTTTTCCAAAAAGGTATTGCTGGTATTAAAACCTATTTTTATACTTTCATAGTGTTTTGCATTAACTATTTGCCCACAGCTGGGACCTTGACAGCTGCTACCACCCCAGGCCAGGGTGGACCAGGGAACATCAGCAATTAAGAGGTGGTTCCACATTTCTCAAAGCCTCCTGATCATCTTTTGGATGGAGTTTATTGTCTTATTCAGGACGAACTTGTAGTGTAATTGGCCATGGTTAAACATAATTGGCAGAAATGCCCATCAAACAGAATTGACAAAGTTTCCAATAAACAATAAAAAAAATTTTTAAAAAAAAAAAAAAATTTTTTTTAAAAAAAAAAAAAAAAAAAAAAAAAAAAAATAAAAAAAAAAATTAAAAAAAAAAATTAAAAAAAAAAATAAAAAAAAAAAAAAAAAAAAAAAAAAAGGAACAGGGCAAAAGATAATACTAAGCAGACAATATATGCAAAACAAAAAGTAGGCAAATCAACAGTTATGAGGCAAAAACGCTCACAAACTAAGAATGGTGTTAACACACAAAATGGATACAGACAAGTGGTTGGAACATTCCAACTTCAAGACAAGAAAGAAAAAAAAAAGTATGGCAGATGAGACTGAGAAGTGTCCAATCTTATTGGCTAGGAAGAAATCCCAGCATGCACCTGTACAGTTTGTCTATAAATTTGGAAACTGGGATGTTTTGCAGACATTCCTACTTGTATTGACTTTTTATCGTGACTGGATCATTCTTTGACTTTCCGCATTCTGTTATTTATTTTTGTCCCTATGTTGTCTATAGCGAGTGAACTGCTTGATTCTACTTAGTGGCAGAATTCAGTAGCCACTCTTATTTTTCTGTGGAGTGGTTGGGTCCTACTAACATTTGATTTATTTTAGTTTGAATGTTTGGTTGTACTTTATTTTCATTATTAGTTTTATCCCCATCTCCCTCATTTCATGCCAAATAGTTTACAACATTATTTTAAAAAAGTACAATTTGTATATTAAATTTTTATTTCATGGGTGTTTTAGAATCCCTGTGAATATACAGTATTCCGTTATATGTTGAATTGAATGGTGATGGATGAGTTCTTGTTGTGATAGAGTAAATTGTAACGAATGAATGAATGGGTCATGAATCAGATTAGCTAGGTTTAGGATAGTCAGTGTTGACCAGATTTTCCATTTAGCCTTGTGCCAAAATTGTAATTATATTGTAATAATTGCTGACCACATATGGAGAGAGAAGGGAGATCACTGCCCTCTGTGGGATCATGTTGAGATCATAGACGAGGAACACCATTGGAAAATTCATAAACTTAAGGAATCAGCACATATGCTAGGCCACAAAAATATCCTGAGCCAACCAAGCATAGAAATAAATACAATATGGGAACCAGTAATAAGGAGTGCCAGAGAAAAGCAATGATAACAAAGTTGCAATATGAACTCTGGTAAAGACATGCAATGATAACAGCAAAATTGCAATATGAGCACTGGTAAAAAATGGTTGCTGAAGACATTAGGTTTATAATACCCAGAAATTCAAGGCACAGTGGATAAAGGCGTTGGTTAGATCCAGTGACAGGACCCAAAGAGTGTGAGTTCAATACCCAGTTAAGGCAGTGGAGAACTTTCAGAGGGAAAATTAACAGGAGATAACTGACATCCATCAAACATGGCACATGGAACTAGAACAGTCAACCCCAGTGAGCGAAATAAAGGGTTCAGTTCAATATTCCAATCACCTGAAGAAGGCCGGAGCATACAACGGCCAAAACGTTGTAATAAATATGGCGACAAAGATGAGGACAATAGTCCGAATAATGTAAATAATTGCAATTGCAATAAATAAACATTCCTACTTTGATTGAAACAATCATTTATCAACAAAGCAATGTAAATATCCTCTTCCCATGAATTGAATAAAGGATTTAAATCAAGATACACCGAAGATTGCCAATGAAGGTGACCTGAAATTAGTGGTTGGTATACTGGATGAGATATGACTAACAACCAAAATGGAGGCAATGCATACAGCATAATGGTTATCTGTATAAAAAGTGGAATCAGCGTGCAGAGTTCAAATTCAGGTCTAGAATACTGCATTCACTTTTGCATTTGTAGTTAGGTTAGTAAAATCTTTGAATCTAACTTTAATTTTACTTTAAGAAATTTTACTTTAAGAAATTTAAAAAAAAATGATTTATAGGAGAAATGGTTAAATTTATGAACATGTTTGGTTGATTTACAGCTTAAGGGTCAAATTTAGCAGATGCATTGTAAGTTGGACAAAGCATGTCACAAAAAAGACACAAAATAACTATCTAATTTACATTATACATACAAGAATAAGCCAAAAACTATCTGCACTTGCATAATATTTGGAATTATTGATAAGAGTGCTGATAATTTTTGATTTTCCCCTCATAGATTGAAATCTGAGGTTAACAAGTTCAAAACTCTCAGAGACACATGTACATCAGATCCTTGGGAAAGGTATGAATCCATCTCTTCTCTCTCCAGTTATGGATTAAATAACAAAGTAAACCAGACATTATTGGGTGGCAGCCAGTCTAAGAACAATTCCAAACACAAAACACTGAAAAAAGCAACAGGTAACCATTTTACTATTTTCCATAGAAATCATGGCAGCTGACAGATAATAAGGATTTGTGGAGAGCCATGATCACTAATGTCTTCATTAGGACATAGTATTTAATATTAAGAAAAGTACAGGTATTTCAACTAGTATATTAATATTTCTTTTTTTCTAAACATTCTTTTAATTTCATTCTGCTTATTAATTCTTCATATGCAAATTTATATTTGATTTGCATATCACAGTCCCTTTTCTGTTAGTAATTGCAGAAACATGTATGTGAGATTAATAATAGTTTATGCCAGATCACTATGAGTATTAATGCTACCATGTAACCCAATACTACCTGTCACATAGGTAACTGGCAACTAAACTAGGTCCCCATCAGGCTTTTCTGGTAAGGAGTATGGATAGACACCCAGCAGGATGTCAAAGAGCGAATGAACCTTGTAGGGTTAACAGACATCAAGTATGATGAGGTAAACAGAGTTCCATAGCCATGTATACAGTCAGTGTGGTGATGACATGACATCACAAGGAAGAAGACTTCAGAGACTGAAGCAAGCATCCAGGGTGGCGCCAATAGCCATATGTCTGTAACCAAAGGACAAGTTAGAGGACACTGGTTGCTTGCCCATGTTAATATATGTAGTAAATTTTGGAGATCAGTTTATTGCTAAATAACAATATAAAATTGGACCTCCACATTGTGTTTGGCAGAATTCTATCTGCCTGATACTAATTCAAACAATGTATCTAAATTCTAATTATAAACTAGAATTTTTGAAAGTGAAAGTTTTCATCTGAAATCAAAAAAGTACAAACTTTAAGTCAATGGCCAGGGCAAAGAGTTCAAGCCCCACCCTCTCACCTGATACAATCAATGCTATGTCTGGGAGGAAGGTAGCTTTCAAGTTGGAGGACACCAGCTGCAGATGACCCAAGAGAGGGATGGGATCCGCCAGGTCAGCTTGTCCAATATGTGCAGTGACCCTACAACCACACCTAATCATGGAGCCAATAATGATTATGATGATGAATCATGATAGCTTAGTTGTCAATAGCTATGGAGATATTTCATCTCAGAAATAGAGACAAAAAGGAAATGAAAGTACTCACCTCTCCCAATACTGAAGGGTCATTTGTGGCAATACCAACAATAAGAATACAGTCAGCCTGCCTGACAAAATGCTTGGTCCACCGGTTCATAGTATTATCACACTGGAAGAGAACCATACGGTTGATGTCCTCATGTTGGCCTAACCAACTAAAGAGACGAAACTCGTTCAGGCTGTGAAAAGAATAATTAAACACATAATTAAAATAAAGACTTAAATTAAACAATTTTCATCACCCAAATCAGAGTTGCAAGTCCTATTCTGATAGTTCCACAAACAAGAAGTGCAAAGGAAGAAACTATCTTTGAACTTCTTGCGTTCCAGTTAATTACAATCTTCAAAAATTTAATTGCAATGCCAATAATCTTCTGTCTCCTTGAAGATTATTCTTTTATTGTCTTTTCTACTCAATGTTTTCTCAGTTTCTTTCATGCTCAGTAACTCTTTGCATCTTAGTGGCTTTATCACCTTACTTGCAGGTGAAATGATCAAGGAAAAAAAATCTTGTTTAAATACATGTGGTTAGAACTGGAAGAACTAAGGACCCCTTTCCATGGAAATAGTAATAGAACAGCGAGAGGATTGCAACATTTTATCTGTGGGGTTGTAGGGCAAAAAATAATTCATCACCTACATGGATGTGGATACACTATTGGACTATGAAAACTGATAGCCAAAAACACAGTAGAGTAATGGATAGCGGCTCGGATTGAGGAATCAGAGAGCCAAGTTTGAATTCCAGTCAAATCCATTATATTTACTTACTTCCTAATACCTTTTGGAAAGGTATGTATCCTCTTCTCACCAGCTATGGATAAATAGCAGGACAGAATGGGTTCTATAGCCTTAGATGTCAACTGGTCTACCACAGAAAGAAATGGCAACCTACTGCAGGGAAAAATCTGCCTTGCCAGTCATGTATCGAAAGATACATGATCGTCTAAGCATGTATCACGCATGTGACATAACTGACTCACTTCATTTTAGGCCTGATCTGGTTCTTGTAAAAGGTAGACAGGAGCTGGAGTCTGGTACTTACTGGAACCTTTTTTTCCAGAATCGTTAGTGATGGATCATATGTAAGAGTTCCACACTTTTTTAATCAATTCACTCCAAATAAGGTGATAATGCCACTTGTCAGTGAAAGAGAATGAAAAAAAGATTTTAGAAGGAACCAGAAACCCAATCCTAAACAGGAAACAAGGGAGAAAACCTCTTCTCCTGTTCAAAAGACTGGTGAAGAATGCAAATACCAAAACTTTACCTGTTAAATGCAGTATTTCCAAGTCTGTTTTTGACTATTTCACTTGTAATTCTGGCTGTGGGACCTGAGCAAAGGAAAAATAAAAAAGAAATCAATAGTACTACATCTGTTCAATAATAGTCATTACATTAGTATATACATACATTAGATGAATCAATTATGAAACATTTTTTTTTTTAAACTACTGCTGTCCCATTGTAGTTGCTACATTTGTATACACATTTCTTAAATTGAATGTATCAACTATTATGGGACAGATTTTTTTTTTTTTAACATCATTCCCATAATTGTTGTAACATTAATAAACATTTTATACACTGAATGTATCTACTATTATAGGACTTATTTTTTATTTTTTACTACATCTGTCCCATAATAGTTATTCCATTCAGTGCATGAAATGTGTATGCTAATATATCAACTATTATGAAACAGATTTTATTTTACTACTTCTGTCCCATAATAGATGTGACATAAGCATACACATTTCGTCTATGGAATGTATCAAATATTATGGGACAGATTTTTTTACTATCTCCATTCCATAATAGTATGCACATTTCATACACTGAATATATTGACTATTATGGAACAGTATATTTTAAAATAATTATGCAATTTTCATTAGGTAATATTAATGTGGAAAAAAAAACTCCAAAATAATGACTGAGAATTTTGACTAATTGCTGCTATAAATGATCCATTTAGATCACTTACAGTTTGACTAATACTCTTGTCTTTGTTAGTAACTGTCATAATCAGGTCATTAAATAAACATTGTCCTGGGAATGATAAAGCATTAGTTGGAACGAAGGCAGGACAATACAAAACTTAATTAAAATCCAATTACATTTATTCTAAAGCCAACTCATCTCCAAAAATAGAATAAAAATTTAATTACATTTTTATTTATTTTTGTGTTTTTACTTCTGAACAAGAGTGTCAAAAAAATAAGGCACTTTCTTAAACTGGTGAAAGAGAAGAAAGATGACGGACAAAGCAAGGGCGGGAAGAAAGATGACAGACAAACCAGGGGGGAAAGATGACAGACAAACCAAGGGGGGAAGAAAGATGACGGACAAACCAAGGGGGTGGAAGAAAGATAGCAAACCAAGGGGGTGGAAGGAAGATGACGGACAAACCAAAGGGGGAAGAAAAGATGGACAAACCAAGAAGAAAGATGACGGACAAACCAAGGAGGTGGAAGAAAGATGACGGACAAACCAAGGGGGGTGGAAGAAAGATGGACAAACCAAGGGGGTGGAAGAAAGATGACGGACAAACCAAGGGGGTGGAAGAAAGATGACGGACAAACCAAGGCGGTGGAAGAAAGATGACGGACAAACCAAGGCGGTGGAAGAAAGATAACGGACAAACCAAGGGGGTGGAAGAAAGATAACGGACAAACCAAGGGGGTGGAAGAAAGATAACGGACAAACCAAGGGGGTGGAAGAAAGATAACGGACAAACCAAAGGAGGGAAGAAAGATGACAAACCAAGGGGGGGAAGAAAGATAACGGACAAACCAAGAAAGAAAGATAACGGACAAACCAAGGGGTGGAAGGGACAAACCAAGGGGGTGGAAGAAAGATAACGGACAAACCAAAGGAGGGAAGAAAGATGTAGAACGGAGTAGAAAGTAGAACAGAAAGTAGAAATTTGAGGAGGAGGAAAGAAGAAGGAAGAAAGAAAATGAAAAGAATGAAACAAACATGGAAAATTTAGTCACAATACGGCAGTTTTTTGTGAATTAAAACTAGTTAATAAAGACTAGAATCTTTAGATCATGAATTTTTGGGAATGCATGTGACCAAGTGGGTGGTTAGAACATTTACTTTCTGACAATGAAACCTGGATTTGAATCTCCACCTGGACGATTTGTCAGGAGGTCGACTTCCTGTCATTAGAACATTCACTTTCCAGCCATCAGACTTGGATTCAAATCTCACCATGCTCGATTAGTCAGGAAGTGCACTTCTTGATGTTATCAAACTGTTTATCTGAGTAAACTCCAAGGAATTTTTAATCGGACCATACAGAGGTAGCTTATTCTCATTTCTGTCCATTTCTAGAGATACATTGTTTATTGTTAATTTATAATAGTTAACTTGTAGGCACCCTGATGGAATGTAATGGTTAGTAAAATTATCTTGCTAGAACAATTACGACTGAGGAGAGAGTATAATCTTCACTGGGCTCCCCATATTTTCAGCCTTGTGCCACATCTAAGCCACACTTCAAAAATCATGATAACGGTTCTCTTCTTTAGACTGTTGATCATGCCAGATTATGCACTCTCTCCCAGAAACTGTAACTAAGGCCCATTCAGTGTAGTTTCAGTATAAACTACAGGCGGGGGTCTATGGGTATTAAAAGAAAATGTGCCTGAGCAGGCGTCTGCAACAGGGATTGGCTCATCCTAACAGAAAGGCATACTCAAACATGAGCAACCAGTCATTATGTTACTCACAACAAATGATATGGTTCAGGATGAAAACACTAAAACATCAAAGACAGACGCGAAACAAAAGGTTTCTTATTGGTTACTATAATACCATCTACAAACACTGCTATTATTTTAATTAACTTCAAATAATTGCAGTGTCTAGGGAAAAACAGTCCTTTTTTGTTTATATTTCTGAGATGAGGTATTGTAACTATTTACACTATTTACATTGTTCAAACTGTTGTCCTCATCTTTATTGCCATATTCACAGTCCATATTTCTGACATGAGGTCTTGTAATTATTTACACTATTTACATTGTTTGAACTTTTGTTCTCGTCTTTATTGCCATATTCACAGTCCATATTTCTGAGATGGGCTATTGTAACTATTTACACTATTTTCACTGTTAGGACTATTGTCCTAATCTTTATTGCCAATATTCACAATCTTTCGTTTGTTGTACACCCCGGCTTTCTTCAGGTGACATTATTTTGAAATTTTGAACCAAACACATTTGGTCCACAGGGGTAAATTGTCCTGATTCTACATGGCATGCCTTTGGATATCTCAGTTTTTTTTTTGATTTTTTTTTTTTTTAGTTAATTCCCCTTGATAATTCAACTCTTCAAGTTTTTGTTTCTTCTGCTGTGGCCAGGTATTGAACTCACAACTCTTTAGCCAACTGGATAAAAACATTGGTTGATTGATCCAAAGAAAACTTTAAATAAATAAATTATACTTGAAGAAGGCAGAAGCATACAATGACCAAAACATCATGAATGTGGCAGTAAAGATGAGGTCAATAGTCCAAAACAATGTAAATAGTCCTTTTTTTTGGAGGTACAAAGGTTAAATATTGCCAAAAAAAATGTTGAAGTGTTAAATTCTTACCAAATTTATATTAAGGAAATGCACAAATGAGGGAAATGTATAAATATTTTTTTACCAATGGCATTGAGAGCATGCTGCAGTTCCAAAGTGAAATTCTCCAAGGGTACATCACTGGAAATAGGCACAACAGCAACCGTTGATAGATTGGACACTATCATTCGATTTTCCATTTGCAGCTGATCTGGAAAAAAAATGGAATAGGCATGCTATACATTAATTCACATCTTATAATAAAAGAGGTAAATTTCTTATTTATAGAATTTATACAACAATTATTTACAAATGCTAATTATCACTAAACTTTATTATCAAAGAAGCACTATTGATATGCCAGTATGGCTGATGGAGTGGAGTGCAGACAAGTCAAAGGAAATGATCGATTTGCTTTTTTTGGCAGGTTTAAGTCATAAAATATTCTTAGATTGTAAGAATTTTTGGGGAAATGATAATGCTTTAACTGATAAAAGTCCTACTAATAAACTTATAACTATGGCAGGGGAGAAGAGGTGAATTCAAACCTTTCCCAGGGGTATTTGTGCATAAGTGAATATAATGCACTCAACTGGTGGGGGGGGGACATACAGAAGTTTTATTTGGAGCATGTTCCAGCTCTTCAGATGGTCAAAAGCATTTTGGCAGAGTGATTTTAACTTAAACAATCAACCAGACTTCAGGCAACCTTCTGACATCAATGAGGATGCTCAGCTTGCCATTTTGGAGAATAAAGTGAAGATTACGATGAAAGAAATTGCTAAAAGTTTGAAAATTGTTATCTCAACAGCCTTTTGCCATTTGAAGAGACTCGAGTTCATCCTGCACAAGGCCCAAGAGCCACTCACGGTAGAGGGTACAGAGTAAGAGGCACAGTTTATAGGGATACATGGGGAAGATAACAGATAACCCTAGACTTGAACAGTTTAAGATTGTAGTCCACAAAGTAGCAGTTTGTGGGAAGAAGTTGTTCAAGTGAAACTTGCATCTCTCCAATAGAATGCAAAGGGGATGACGTTCGTTCGTTACAATGTACATGACATGGCAGGTGAGGATTAGATCTGGTGGAACTAAGGAATGTAATTCATCTGAACACTTTCCTTGGAAATAGCAATAGAGCAGAGAGAGGCCTGCAATGTTTCATTTGTGGAAAAGGGGTTGTCGGGAAGAAAATAAGTCATCATCCACAAGGATGTGAAAACATTTTTGAACTCCGTGAAGACTGGGTAGCTCATGCCCACATATGGCAAGAGTACTCCATTTTCGACTCTTGTAAATGTAAAGGATAGCAGCAGGGGCCAGGTACTTACTAGAGCAGTACAGGGAATCAACCATTTTTTGAGTATCTTTAACAGTGGATCATGCGTGTGAGTTCAATTTGACTTCTGGGTTGAGATTAAGTCCCCAAGAAACACTCAAGGTATGGGGCTTCCACAAGAGAATTCCCATTCATCATGATAAAATAAAGGAAACCAATGGCCAAATTGGCCAAAATACTTTATTCTTCAAGTTAAAGCATTTAAATGGAATTGTGTAAACAAAAGTTGCGCTATGATGTGCTATTTTAGCTGTTATAGTTACTCAAAAATACACAGAAATCAGAACATTATAATAAACATTAACCTGTGGTTCTACTTTGTAAATTTCCCAGCAGCCTCTGGCCCAACAAGTGTATAAGCCGTGTGACAATCTGAGGATACTTCCTCTTGATGTGGTTCAAGAGTTCTGAAGGAATGTCAGCAAGTTCTGTATCTCTAAAGAGAAAAGAAAAAAAAAAGTAAAAACATTTAACATGTATCAACAAAAATCACCATCAATTAAAATGGATTCTAATCTCAGAATGCCCTGTAATAGCCCCCCCACCTTAAATTTATCCCAAATATACAAACATATCATTATCAATATTAATTAGGATACAGGAAATAGACTTCATGAAATTATCGGTATCCAGAAGTAACTCTACAACAGAACTACTACTTTGTGGAACAGACTTTCACCAATAGCTACAATCTTAACCTCTTTAAGTCTAAGGTTAGCCATTATCTTTCCAACATATCCTCATAAACTGCACTACTTGCCACATCCTCTTCCCACTCATATAACAAGCTCATTCTGTAGCCCTCTGCCTTGAGTGGCTTTTAGAACTTCTATTTTTTTTTTTTTTTTTTTTTTTTAGCTAGTGAATATTGCATTAACAGTTTTGAAAATAACTGATTTTTCCACATAGAAATCCTACTATTTAATCCATAGCTGAGAGGAGGAGATGAATTCATACCTTTCCCACAGGTATTTGTGTATAAGTGAATCTAACAAAATCAACTGAAATTTGAACTCAGCTCTCCAATTTCTCATTCTAAGCCACTATCCGTTCCATCAGGCACACATCTTCCGACAAGGATGGTAACCAACCATCAAAAGTGAACCTCACAATAAATCCCAATCCAATGTTGGTGCTGCTCAATCCATCTATACTGTACAGCATCCATAGCTGTCAATCCCTATAGATGCCATTATTGACCCTACAGCATTAGTTATTACATTTCTACTGGGCCCAAGAACTGGATAAAGAAGGATTAGCACCATACTGCCTGGTCAGAGACGCTACATTTCCAGTTCTTTTGTAAGAATAAATAGAATAATTTCCAGTCTTTTTATCCTATCCAATCTCAATATTTTAAGACCATTATCTTCTTATCAAAATACCTTTTTCTTCATAAACATTTTGAATCTTCATAAACAGTTTGATTTTTCATAAATTTATTAAATACTGTTTTGTAATAATATAGTTCTTTTTTTTTTCATAAATCAATAATAAATACAGTTTTTTTATAGGCATAAATGTTTTTTAAATAAACACTTTATTTAATTATCAAATATTATCATATTTCTTTTAAATAAACATAAATACCTTCTTCAAGATAAGCAAATACTTTGTTTTTTTTTAATATAAATACCTTCTTTTTATTAAAAAAAAACAAACACAAGTACCTTCTTTGCAAATAAACACAAGTACCTTCTTTGCAAATAAACACAAGTACCTTCTTTGCAAATAAACACAAGTACCTTCTTTTTTTAAATAAACCTAACATAAATATGAGAAGTTTTTATCACCCATTAATGCTGGATTGTTATTTTATTTCTTTAATACTTTCACTGTTGTGAACATGCTTATCTATACAGAACTTATATTGTCTAATTTTATTGTAAATTCATCCCTACTCCACAAGATAAAAAGGGAAATAATAATAATAATAAAGAGCAAAGTGAAATATGTTTTACATTCGGATTTCCCAGCTGTTTTGAAATTATTTAAACTTTATTTATGCATTATTTTGAATGCAATTCAGGAAAAAGTGATTTTTTTTTTACTTTAACTTAAATTATTGGAATTTTTAAAGTAAGAATAAACTTTATCATGTGGTATGAGCATTTGTATTTTTTTCTTTCTGGCTTGCATAGGTGGATCATTTTAAAATGTATTTACATTTTAAAATGAACCTCCCTCTTAAAATTTAGAAAATGTAAAAAGAAAAAAAATATATTTTGATATTTTTGATCTGAAAATCTTAACTGATAAAAATTTGTAAAAAAAAAAAAAAATATTATTTCTTAGAAAAGTGTGTTTCTGTAAAAGAAAAAGAAAAAAGCCCGTGGTTTTAAAATATTGTGTGTTAAGAGAATCATTTAGTTTAGTCTGTACTGCAGAGTATTTGATCAAAACTAAAATTGTGATGCCTATGAGAAATTGCTGTTAACATTTTTGTGGTCATTTATTTATAGTGAAAAAAAAAAAAAAAAAAAAAGAAAGAAATTACCAATTTTTTTCCCAAAATAGGCTAGTACAACCCAGCAACAATGTTATAACAATGCAACAGTGAAAGTGCTAATATCAAATATTTATTTTAATTTTTATAATTAATACCAGATATTATGATGCAAATTAATGGGTTAATTTTACAATAAATTTGTTTATATTCATTTTACAAAGTTTTGTTAAGTTAAAAACAACATAGTAACAATTTTTCTAAGAATTTTAAAAAATCTTATCCACTTTAAAGACTTAATTTTAATGATCAAAAAATATAAAATATCAAACCAATCTAAAAGTTTGTATTCACTTACCGCACAGCCATAACTGTTGTAGCCCGTTGAGTCTGGGTCAAGGCCTCTACAATGCCAACCAGGTCTCCACGACCATATTCACCAACCAGCTCTTTCTTGTTATTAGCTGAAGTGATGATTGACCGAAGACGTCCAGTAAGAATGATATAAATGGAGTTGCAAGGGTCATCTTGTCTATCAAAAGAATAATCAAGCTGATTTTTAAGTTCATGATAGAGAGTGACAGACTTAGGCAGACAGAGAGATATATTTCATTGAATACAGCTGACAAGGATGAATTAATTAATATAACAAAAAAAAAAAGAGAAAAGAAAGAGAGAGAGAAAAAAGAGAGAGAAAAGAAAGAGAGAGAGAAAAGAAAGAGAGAGAGAAAAGAAAGAGAGAGAGAAAAGAAAAAAAGAGAAAAAGAAAAAAAAGAAAAAGAGAAAAAAAGAGAAAAGAGAAAAAGAGAAAAGAAAAAAAAAAAGTGAAAAAAAAAAAAAGAGAAAAGAAAAAAAGAAAGAAAAGAAAAAGAAAGAGAAAAGAAAAAGAAAGAGAAAAGAAAAAGGTGCATAATAAAATTGTAGTCAGTTTTACCACAAATAAAGCTAGCTTGATTTTTCCAATAAATAAAGAACTTGGAATTACCTGAAAAGTGCCCTGCCAGCCTCCAGCATTGTCCAATCGAGAGCAAAATCAATCTGTCTGACAAACGAAGACATTCGACTGACAATGGTATGTGCTGCCTGTAAAACTATGGACGGTTGTTTTTTCATTATTCTGTCATACAAACGAAAACAAATTTTTTTTAAGTAATCAAAGAATATAATAAATTTACATTCATAAGTAGATAAACAAAACTTCAAATGACTAAGTTTCCAACTAATTTTCACAAAGACACCATGCTGACCAAAGTATAGAAAAAACAATATAAACAATATAAATTTAATTCCAATTAAATGCAGCTTTCATCATAATTCTTCTCTTAAGCTTGAAGAGTAATTATACATTCTTATTGCTCAATTTAGAGTCCAATAGTGTTATAAAACAGCAGAAAATTCCATTAAGATATCTTTAATCATTTCTAATATACACCAGGTCAAAGCTTAATCTAACAATTGAACAATTTTGCTATTACCCACAGTGTGTGTGTTTATACAGACAGACAGACACACAGAGCGATGGATAAAATGTCGCCTAAATTATGCAAAAAAAAAAATAAAATAAAATAAAATAAAATGAAAATAACACTGACATCTCATTTTAACAGATCTATTTACCAAAATTACATAAAAATATCTTAAAATACTAAAGAGTAAATTTATTCAATTAAAAAAAAAAAAAAAAAAAAAAAAATCACCATTGGTTTCATACACAGACGAATTTGGAATCTCCGGCAATTCTTCTGAATGCTCTCCTTGTTTAAGTTGGTGAATGCTGCCATAATCTTTGCCTTCAGTTCATTTTTGATTCTAAGAGGAGTTGGTCTCTCGCTCAACTGTGCCTCACACATGATAATCAAGATGATTGCAGTTTGGGGAGTTAGATGGCCAAATTTAAGGAGTGATGTGGTACAGAAATTGTCTGACAGCCATGACGGGCTTCTCCTGCTTGTGTGGCATGTTGCAGAGCCTGTTGCCAGGCACAGGGTCTTTAAGCAGCTACCTTCTTGACTCAGAGCGGCACTACCTCCTCAAATCACTTGATGTAGGCCTCACTGTTGAGTCTGAGGCCCTCACCAACAAATTCTGGATCTTTTCTGATCAGAAGAATCAGAGCAACTTTTCTGAGCTGCTGTACCTTCATAATCACCATTAGACTCATTCAACTCTTTCTGAATCCTCTGCACTGTCCTCAGATTGACACACAAACACTAAGTTTCCAAATTTCTGTCAGAATGAATTGAGTCATGGTGCTCTTTTTTTTTCTTTTTTTTTTTTTTACAGAGTCCAAAATAAAAAACAAATAACACACATGCATGAAATTAAAAATATAACGACAATTTACCCATCGCACCCTCTGTGTGTGTGTGTGTGTGTATATATATGTGTGTGTGTATATATATAAAATTAATTGATTTAAAATATGTTTTTTTTCGCTACACAGTTCTAACCATGTTTCAAAAATGTAAGCTAAAAGCCACGAATTTAATTTTTGTGATTAAATCAAAGACATTAGTTCCATTTCATCCTCAAGCGAATTGAGCACTATTTTGTAAAAATAAAAATATCTATAAGAACACCGGCTTATATATCTTGCTGTTCTTTCTTATATATATATATATATATATATATATATATATTACACACATAAGGACAAATGGAAAAGTTGCTCTTTACGTACGAGTAAAAATCCATTTTTGAAATCAGAACAACTTCTGATTCTGTCTTTGACTTGACGGTAAACATGGATGGCTCTCCAGTGAGTACTGCAAGGGCACCAACAACACGCCCCAGTCCAGCACTGAACAGCAATGTCTGAAAGTTTAAAAAGAATAAGAAATCAATTAGCAGCCTAGTAGCATTTATAAACATATACCCACCTATTTGACTGCATAAAGGAAAACATTTCCCAATAATCAGACAGGAAGCAGAAAAAAAAAAAAAAAAATAATTGTAACAAGTTACTTATGAATTCAGATAAAAAAAATGTTTAACCCTTTAGCATTCCACCTGCCCAAACCAACTCAATAAATATCGGCTTGCAATGTTCAATCTGTTGTAAACTGTCCCATGTATATTCTACTATAATATATATAACCATATATTAAGAAATGGACAAAGTCCGACAATTTATTTATTAAAGACATTTTTATGTTTAACGTTCTTTTTTATAGATACAAGTATTTAAGTAAATGTTCTGTTTATAATAAACAGTATTAAATAACATTTACCAGCCTGAATGTCCGAGAAATTTTCATAGAAAATAACCATGTCAAAAATAATGCAAGAAGTCACACAGTGAGACTTTTAGAACCAATATTTACAGAGATGGGGAGAGTGTTGAATACTAAAGGGTTAAATATGCATTTGTTTTTTTAATTATTTTAGCCCGAGCAAGGCAATAAAGCCACTAAGACACAAGAAGTTATTGAGTGTGAAAAAATAAGAGAAATCAAATAAGAAGCAAGAACAATAAGAGGAATCAAAAAGATTGCATTGTGGTTTAATGGATATCAGCTCAGAATGAGAAATCAAAGACTCAGGTTCAAATCCAGTAGAGTTCATTGCATTCACTTACACACAAATACTCTTAAGAAAGGTATGAATCCATTTCATCTCTTCCCAGCTATGGGTTGAAGAGTAGGAAAGACTTGGTTGGCAACCAGTCTACTGCAGAAAGAAATGGCAACCTAGTGCAGGAAAATCTTCTGCCTAGTCGGTCATGAATCAAAAGAGACATGATTGATGAAGCGTGAATTATGTATGGCACTTAGCTTGAACCATATGACTAAATTTATCAGTTAATTGTCTGATAGAGTTCACATTGAATTAATCACATTTGATTAGCGATTAAAGCAATTATTATAAACTCAGTAAATTGCTTTCTCTTTTAATTAAACCAGCATTTTTTTTCTCTTAATTGAAATTATGCTCAGGCTCATTATGGTGAGAAACTATCGCACTGGGTTTTGTAAAATATACCTTTTGTATTCATATAATCTTTTATTAAAATACCTCAATGTATTCCTTGTAGCAATTATTACAGGTGATTCCTCACCACCACTTTGTCAATAATTTTTTTGTCTTCTTTGGTATTACTATCACAATAAGTTTGCTAGTATTCTACTGCTGTAATATGCAGCCACTTCTCACTAAATGACTGGGTTCTTCTCCACTTGCCTAGTTACTAAACGAGCCAGTCACTGAGATGTACCTGACCACTATTTCTGGCATCCTGATAACTGCTACTTTGTGAAGCAGACTCTTGCATGGATCATTCTGGGGTCAATTGTTATCTATCCAACATAGGGATTTTTTTTAAAGATGTAGTCTTGGGTATGATGATAAACTACATCCAGTAGCTAAGTCTCTGATTGGGAGGTTTTGAGGGTCATGGAACCACCTCTTAATTGATGTTGTTCCCAGGTCCACCCTGACCCAGAGTGGTAGCACCTGTTAGGGTCCCAACTATGAGCAAATAGTTAACACCACACACACACCCAAAGTGGAGCCAAAATACATTTTTATAATAAAAATACAAGCAACACATTTTCATCATAAAAAAATTACTACCAATATATTTTTGAAAGAAGAAAATTACTAGCAATACATCTTTGGATGAAAAATTACTAATGCAAGGAGTTGATATGCCACTAAACAAACAAATGTAATCTTCATATTTCTTTTAAGTACCTCCAAACATTAAAAAAAAAAAAAAAAAAGATGCATATTTACACTATTTACATTGTTTGGACTTTTGTCATCATTTTCAACCATTGTACAATTTGCCCTTCGTCAGATGATATACATTGGAATTTAAAACCAAACCCTTATTTCATCCATGGGGGTAGATCGTTCTAGTTCCACATGCCATGCCTTTTCTGGATATCTCAGTTCCAGTTATTTCCCTTTAGTAACTCAACTCTCCAAGTTTTTGTTCCCTCTGCTGTGACCAGGTATTGAACTCACAACATTTGAGTCAAGTCACTGGATCACTACACCCAACTCTTTTTTTGTTTCCTCCACTAGGCCATGTGTCCTTGTGAGATCCAGAAAAGGATTTTTTTATGTAAAAAATATTTTTATTATGTAAAAAATATTTTTTTTTTTTTTTTGTAAAAATTTTTTTTTTTAAAAAATATTTTTTTTTAAAAAAAAAATTTTTTAAAAAAAAAAAAAATATATTTTTACATAAAAAAAAATTTTTTTACATAAAAAAAAAAAAAAAAAATATTTTTACATAAAAAAAAAAAAAAAAATATTTTTTACATAATAAAAAATATTTTTACATAAAAAAAAAAATATTTTTTACATATATAAAAAATATTTTTTTTTTATGTAAAAATATTTTTTTTTTTTTAAAAAATATTTTTATTTTTTGAAAAAATTTTCTGATTAAAAAAAACCCTGGTTACAGAAAATCTGTTCTAAATTGTATAATAAAAAATGCAATAAAGCTAATCCAACATTTAATTAGAAAAACTTTTAATTACTTTAATGAATAGATGCAACTGACTTAAAACATTTTTTTTATTTTCAAGGAATTTTTACAGGAATGGTTTTCATTATTTTTTAAAATTTTAATTGGAATAATTTATTAACTTTTAAATTTTAAAATTCTGTATACATTTGTACCAACCAAGTGATATTGTTATTAGATTAAAACTGTATTTACTAATCATAAAAAGATCACAATTCAATGACTCCTAATATTTTTTACTTTTTTTTTTTTTAAATAGATAAACATTTTGATTTGTGTAAATACAGACATCCATACAGGATATCAGAAAATAAGATGGAAATAAACATTCACACTCTGAAAGAAATAACATGGGATTATATTGAGCTACATGGCTAAACCCATTACAAGGAACAGGTGAGATAGTCCAACCCCATAACAACAAAGCATTAGTTTCTGTTAGCTGGTGATTGTGAGTTCAATTCCTGTGCTGGGAAATACATAAATATATAGAACAATAACATTTGCTAAATTATTAAAATATGTGAACCAACTCTAAGGAAATCCTTATTTATTATTTTATAAAGTTCGAATTGATTAATAATCAGCCGTTCTTTTACCCAACCATTCCAATAAATAACAGAATAAATAGTATAAAATAAACAATCTAATAAATAAATAGTGTTTATTATTTTTGCTGTAAATTCTCAAGAACAAAGATAAAAATTCATTTTCATGCTTTTAGGTTTTATTTTTTTTACAATTCTAACCATCACTTTTTAAGACAAACATTGCCAAGGAATGAAGATTGTTAAAATAACAGCAGTGTCAATGAAAAAAATTGTGTTCAACTGGTCTGTCAGGTATTCATCAGGCAAATGAATGTTCACCCTCTGGGAGAAATACCATGGGTTTATATTGAGCTCCATGGCTGCACCCATTACAAAGAACAGATAAGTCAATCCAACAACAAAGCTTTAGCTTCTATTAGCTAGTGGTTGTGAGTTCAATTCATGTGCTGAGCAATACATAAGTACATAGAATAATAACAAGTTATAGTAAATTTAAAATTTATTGGTAATTTTCTAACATTTCCTCAACAAGCTATAAATAAGCTATAAAGTCAAAGTACCTAAAATTCAATAAAATATTAGAATATTAAGACATTTTTAAGATTACTGGGTAGTTAAAAAAAAAAAAATAAAATTTGCATAATGTTCCCAGTGTATTCGTCATGTAATTTTTTCAGCTATTGTCTCCCTTAGTTAAATTTCCCAAACATCAGGATATTACTAAATCACTCAATGAGATTAATTAAACTTAAATCAGCTAATTTTTCTCAAACAACATTTCAGCAAAGTATATTGTATTTTTTAAAGATTTCTTAATAAAGACTTAATTTCTTAATAAATTATGTTGTATTAACAGATATGTCAATATGAATAAATTTATCAATTTTACTGGTAAATAGAAAAAAAATTCAATCAGTTCAAATTCAATTTGAAATACACCAAAGTATTTTCTTTATTGGACATATTAAATTTAATCTATGAGTACTGAATTCAAACTGAAATAAAAACTTCCAAAAAGATTTTTTAAAATGCACTACAAATTTAGGTATCACATTTTTTTGAGGCACCATGTTTTAATATAATTTTTAGATTCCTTTTAATGTAACATTAATTGTACTAATACCAATTTTACTATAAGTAAATATTAATTTACCTCTTTTTCTTCATGACCAATCAAATTCTGTAAGACATTAAGGGTTCCTGTGACTATGAAGAACAAACTGGAATCCTAAAAAAAAATTTTAAATCATTATGTGATAGAAAGAAGAATATCTATAAAAAATAAAATAAAAAAATTTGTTAAAGTAAAAAAAAATTGTTAAATAAAGGTCAAATTTGTTAAAGTAAAAAATAGACAAATTTGTTAACAAAAAAATAAAAAGAAATGTATTTAAAAAAAAAAAAAAAATAAGACAAACTTGTTTTAATTTAATAAATTTTTTTTAAAATAAAAAAAAAATTTAAAGTATTAAAAAAAGTTTTTTTAAATAATTTACAAAAATAGATAATAAAAAAAAAGTTATTTTTCAGAAAAAGTGAAAGAAAAATTGAATATTGTGCTATTTCCCCCTGCATCAGGTAAACTCTACCCAATGAAGCAGCCTCAACTTTACCTGTAAAAGCATTTTTTTTTTTTTTTGCAGGAAGGAAAAAGTAATTTTATATGCTATCAAATATGGTAAATAAAAAATACTGCATATATATATATATATATATATATATATATATATATATATATATATATATATATATATATTTTAAGTCCAAAATCTTTTTTTTTTTTAATCAATTATCAATTTATGCTGTGAACAGAAAAGAAATTAAAAATTAAAATAAAAAATGTTAGTGATAGAATAGAGCTATTATATGTATAATGTAATTGATAATGATTTTATTATAAGAATGCATTGAAAATCAGGAAGAAAGGGATTGTCAGTGGTTAAGAATGAATGCAAGCATTACTGATACAAAAGAATTCATAAAGGTATGATATAGAATTATCTTTTATCTTCATAAATAAATATAAACAGGCAGAGACCTGTAAACTTTATAGTGAAATTCAAAACAAATGCTAAATCCTACCTGATCTCCCTGTTTCTGCAATATGCTGCCAGCTCGGAATTGTTTTAATGTCAGTTTCCCATCCAACAAATTGGGATCCTGCAAACAAACATTTAAAATGATATTTTACACCATCGATATTTTCAAAATATAAAGGGTGTTTCTTGTTTGTTGAAACAAAGCAGTGGTCTCTCAGACAGGGAGAGGTTGAGAAACATGAGGACCTTGATGAGGAGGAACAGTGGCTCCATCAGGATGGTGATGTTCCTCCTCACATTGTTAATGCTACCATGGTATGGCTCCATGAAATGTTTGGGGGAGCATCTCATCATCCGCAAAGATGAAGTAGAATGGGCATCTCAATCGCCTGACCTGAAACCCCCAGATTTCTTTCTCTGGAGGTTCCCCAAGGGCAACATCTACCATGGCAACCATTGCTGCATTGATGACAGCCATCACTGAGAAGATTCAAGCAATCACTCAAGAGGAATGTGCACGTGTTATCAACATCTTTACACTCAACAGTGTCTTCAACTGAACAGCGGACATCTGAAGTTTGTACTCTAGGGCTCCTCTTAACATTTTTGTTCCATGTTGCAGATCCTAAAATATTATCCTTTTACCTTTCACTGAATGTAATTTCCATTACTCTATCATTTCTTATCCTTGATTTGTGCCCAAACATTTTGTTTCAAAAATTATAAAAACACCCTGTATTAAGATGGTGGTTCAGTTTATGCGAGTTCATTATCAATAAGTGCTCCCAAAAATAAAAAATGGTAAGGGGAAAAAAACTCTGCACCATTGCTGCATGTAAGGCAGTCATTGAGAAGATTCAAGTGATCACCCAATATGAATGTGCAGCGGACATCTTTACATTCAATAGTGTCTTCAACTGAACAGCGGACATCTGAACTCTAGGGCTCCTCTTAACATTTTTGGTTCCTGTTTGAGACTAAATGGTTGCAGATCCTAAAATGTTATCCTTTTACCTTTCACTAAATGTAATTTCCATTACTCTATCATTTCTTATCCTTGATTTGTGCCCAAACATTTTGTTTCAAAAATTATAAAAACACCCTGTATTAAGATGGTGGTTCAGTTTATGCGAGTTCATTATCAATAAGTGCTCCCAAAAATAAAGAATGGTAAGGGGAAAAAAAACTCTGCACCATTGCTGCATGTAAGGCAGCCATCATTGAGAAGATTCAAGTGATCACCCAATAGGAATGTGCACGTGATATCAACATCTTTACATTCAATAGTGTCTTCAACTGAACAGCAGACATCTGAAGCCTATACTCTAGGGCTCCTCTTAACATTTTTGGTTTCTGTTTGAGACTAAATGGTTGCAGATCCTAAAATGTTATCCTTTTACCTTTCAATAAATGTAATTTCCATTACTCTATCATTTGTGGTCCTTGATTTGTACCCAATCTTTTCGTTTCAAAAATTGCGAAACATCCTGTAAAAAAATAAAGATCTGAAGCTGATAATGTTGTTCTTTATGATCCAAAGTATGACACATCAAAAGGTAAGTATGGGAGAATGGTTTGCCCAAATGATTGGCATGACAGTCACAAATTATTTTTTTTTTTAGAAGATATCTGTTGAGAAAAACAAGGAAAAATTTGTGATTCATTTTCCTGGTGAAATTATTTTTCTTTATCTGTCAAGCAATTTATTTTCTTCACATCCCATTAGCCATAGAAGTGTTCCATGTTTATTGCTAACTTTTAACTCTCTGCAATATTTATAAGCATTTCATCCATTCAGTATAAGTGACCAGATAACTGTAATAGCCCCATCTTTGATTTTCAGTTTGTCATTTTCTTGTTGCCATAGTAGGATATGACTACACTAATACAAAAACCATCTACACTATTGTCTGATTTTGATTGACAAATGGTATTGCCTACATATAAGTTAAGATATCCAAGTATGTAAAAGGTATAAGGGCTTAACAAAAAAAAATCATAGTTAATAACTTTGAGTGAAGCCCATATCCTGTGTAGCAGAAAACCAAATAGTACAGAGTATAATTAACAGAAAAATATGATAATTCAATCAATACCAAAAGACTCATTCCCAGAAATGATGGAAACCATGATGAACTCTGTTTTTTTTTTTTTCCAAATTTTCACGCAATTTGTTGTCCAGTTGCATTAAAGCTGATCAGTTAACGGTCTTCACTGGCACCATTAACCTTTAGCATTCTGCAATATTCGTAAGTATTTAATTCTCATTCATTGGGTATACTTGGCCAGACAACTGCAGTAGCATCATCTTTGATTTTCAATTAGTCATTTTCCTGTTGCCATAGTAGGATATGACAGCACTAGCACAAAATTCAACTACACTATTGTCAGATCATCATAGTTGCATGTAGTGGCAATACAAACATTTTGCTTGACAAATGAAACACAAATACAATTTCACACACGGTCCAGCTTTAACAGAGATGTACATTTTCTTCCTCTCTCTGGTTTTCTTTTTTCTTTCTTTCTTCTTCTGTATACAGTTCAGTTTCAAACACGATTCAACTGCAACAGGGATATACACTTTCTTCCTCTCTCTGGTTTTCTCTTTTCTTTCTTTCTTTCTTCTTCTTTACACAATTCAGCTTGTAACAGAGATATATACTTTCTTCCTCTCTGGTTTTCTCTTTTCTTCAAACGCAGACTGTATTCTCAGCGTACAAATTCCTTTGCGTCTTCTGTGATAAATAATGTGATTTATCGCCTTCAATTTGGGGTTAACGAACAGAAATACATGTTCTTATATTTCTTGTCCAGAGTTGCTCCTTCAAAGACAAGACAGCAACTGACTCCCAAGTAATTTTCTAACTCTCACGTGTCCTGTGCTTTGGCGCAAATTCCAGCTTACATCAGTCCCCTGTCTAGCTTCTGTCTAGACATCTGTTGCTACAGGTAATTGGGGCAGTCAACCTCTTGACTTGCTTTCCCAAAATGTCTTGAGACTCCCGTGTATGGGCTATCTGCGTCCGTCACAGACATAGTTTATCATCTTACCCTGGACACGGATGTAGTTTATCATCATACCCAGGACGCCCTTGGGGAAGAGTGGAATTTTTACCCCACTGTAGATGATGCAGTCTGCATATTCTAAACCCCACCAAAGGACAAGTAATTGGTTTTCAAGAGTACAAAAAACTGAAAAATTGAAAATAGCTCTCTGACAAGCTTTATTTTTAATATCTCTATCAGTGATCGAGTTTTGAATACAATGCTTTTATACTGGAAGTAATAACAAAAGTAATATAGGGTGTTATGACAAAATTATACACAAATGCGGACAAGACAATAGATCCCCTCCCCAATCAGTGATCTTACTTACAAGGTTTTTACTACCAACAGTCAAGAGGAAAAAATGCCATGATGAGCCTTCAGGATGTAGGCAATTAGGACTCTATATTCTTTTTCTGGGAATCTAACTTTTATGTCCATAAAAAAAACTGTCAAAAGTACAGTTTTTCCCTTGACACCACTATTATTTTAACTACCTTTACTCCTCAGTAATGTTTATTGTTTTAAAAAGCAATGATTAGAATTTAAATAAAACCTAAACAATATGAAAGTAAATTATACATTTTATTTATTCTTGAGAATTGACAAAGATATTAAACACGATTAGATTGTTTATTGGAATGGTTGGCAAAACCTCAGCTAATTGCCAATCGATTCAAACTTTATAAAATGGTAAATAATAAGGATTTCCTTAGAGTTGGTTCACATATTTTAATAATTTAGTAAATGTTTATAAATTTATAAATAAAAATTGTTTTCATAATGACCCTAGGCTAGAAACATCAATGATGATGTGTATCAAAATACCCAAGAGATGTATTTTACAAAACTTTATAAATTGGTAAATGATAAATATTGCTGTTTGGACTGTTGTCCTCATCTTTATTGCCATATTCTCAATGTTCAGACAGATGAATATTGCATAAGTTTTAATACAATTGTATTAGTTTTTAGAATGTTGTAAATATAAAATTACTCTTGTAAATAAACAATCTAATAAATAGTGTTTAATATTTTTGTCAATTCTCAAGAACAAAAAAAAATTCATTTTCACTTTCATATGTTTATGTTTTATTACAATTCTAATCATTGATTTTTAAAGCAAATATTGCAGAGAAGTGAAAGTAGTTAAAATCATAGCGGTGTTAAGAGAAAACTGTCCTTTTGATACAGTTTTTTTGCAGGCACAAAGGTTATCTGTGAATAATTATATTCTTGGGAAAACTGATGGAATTGTTTTCCATTACCTACTCCATGATTTGGAATTCAGAGTATTCTGACTAGTAGCCATATAAGGTTAGAGAGTCCAGTTTACTCTGCTATTTAACTCATAACTGGAGGGAGAAGAGATGGTATTCATGCCTTTCCCAAGTGCATTAGTGCAAATGTGGACACAACAGACTAGCACTTTTGCTATAAATATTTTCATGACAATTGTTCTGATGAGTTTTGTTCTTTTGCACCTAAATTTTAGTACTAGAAATTAGTATTTAATTGGAGGGCCGAGTTAAAACCGTTTTTTTTTTTAAAGCACAAAGGTCTCGTCATTTTACAGTTGAAATAGCTAGATGTAACCCTAAGTTACATGCTAACAGTTTCTTTTCTCGTACTTCTTGCTTGTGGAACTCTCTTCCAGCTCCTTGCTTTCCAGTCAACTTTATCTTCTAAAATTTAAATGCAATATCAATCTTTATCTTTTGTCTTCTTAATTCCTGTTCTTTTATTGTTCTCTCTGCTTAATGTTTCCTTTGTCTCATATTCTCTGACACTCAGTAATCTCTTGCACCTTAGTGGCTTTATTGCCCTGTTTGGTATGTAATGATTAAAAAAAAATTACACACTGATATTGGTTACATTACCCATACATTTTTTTAAAATTATGAACAAGAACAATCTATCCCCACAAATTAAATAAAGGGTTCAGTTCAAAATTCCCTGATGATTATCCAGATCGACAGAAGGCTGAAGAACACAGCAGCCAAAATGTTATGATAATAACAACAAAGATTAGGGCATTAGTCCATCACTAAATAATGTAAATGAACAAAAATTATTATAATGTTAATGACAAAACACTTACCTTCAACTTGAACAAATTGGTCAAGTCCTGTTTGACCAATTCTATTTTCTTTTGGTCAATCAGTGTACGTCCCATTGTGAGAGAGTAGCCCATTGGGTCAGACCCATGGCGTTTAATATTCATTCGCTGCATCTCTAATTCGTCATCACTCTAAAAAAAAAGTTATTATTTGTCAAGCATATAGGAGGAGTGAAAATTTCTGATGAGAAAAATAACTTATGAAAATATTACAAACTTCAATGTATTTAGTCTATTGTTGAATTAACTTTTATTATTAACCTTTAGTACACTGCATTATTAGTATTACTTTCTTTTTCACAGCTTTCTTTCTCTATTGCAGTAACCTTACTTTTACTTTCACTAAAATGTTTTCTGTTGCCATAGCAGGATATGACAACACAACTATGGATAAACTTTTTGCACAGCAATTGAAATTACATACACAGTCATAAAAGTTAATAAAACATTAAGAAAAATTCTATTATAACTTCTCTATGTGCGTACATTGAGCATACATCAAGTAACACCAAATGAAAAGGACAGTGGACAACAAATTGTCTTCTGTCAAATGGGTAATACGAACAGAAAATAGCGGGCTGGAACAAAAGTTTGTGTTTTTCAGTAAGTGGTATTTGAACATGTGATTTCATTTCACACATGACTGAAATTTATAAGATCTATTCTAAAAGACCTTGATGGTACAGAACAGGAGTAATGCTATAAAACAGATGTAGAATAAGGAACCTTTCTTCCAAGATAAATGGATCTATGGTGACCTCAATATGTACAAAGCTCACCCTAAAAGATAGCAGATTTTTCACTCAGCGTCACACCAGAGAAGGTAACCTCATAGCTACCAGGTGGAGATTCAAACCTCATGTTACGTCAGTGGCTTCTCCAGGTATTTAAACAGGTAGTTGATCCAGCTATGATTAGAATGTGCACACATGGGAAAACACGATGACTAGATATACAAGCAACCAATCCAATTCTTGCAAGATCCACGTTTGGAGAAAGTTCCCAAAGCCATAAACCTACTTACAGGCAAGAGGTGAATAAACAATTTTATTCTTGAGGTATTTTGTCTTGAATTCCAGTTAATCTTTGTAATCATTATACATGTAATGATGAGTACTTAGGTTACAGAACAAAGTTACATACCCTGTCTTCGGTTAATTACTCTCATATCTTTTGAACACCCTCCACAAGTCTTATCTTCAAGTTGTATTACTAAAATTATTACAATACAAAGTTTCAACATTTAGTGCTGTCCACTGACTTTACTGATACTCCATTGACTGATGTAACTTTTCAACATTTTTTTTTTTTTTATCTACTAAATATTTCTGGGAGTAAGGAGGGAAAAAAGTTAAAAAATAGAGAATTTTACCCAGAATTTGTTTTAACAAAATTTGACAATCGATATAATGTTGAAAAATGAGAAAAAAAAAAAGGGATTGTCAGTGGTCAGTAATTAATGCCTGCATTACTGAAAGAATAAGGTTATGTATAATGAAAATTCATTGATAATGATTTTACTATAGAAAGGCATTGAAAATCAGGAAGAAAGGGATTGTCAGTGGTCAGGAAGAAATACAAGAATTGCTGACAGAATAGGACTATTATATATATGACTAGCAGGCTTCACCCACTCGCTATCGCTTCACAAAATAACATATTCACTACTTGAAATCTTTGAAACAAAAATTTTAAATGAACATTTTATTTATAAATTGGCTTGTTATGATTAAGTTTTACAAATAGATGCCAACTTGTTGAAGGCCAAGTAAAATGCAAATTTCAAACACTTCTCTGCACTATATAAAACGATATTCCTAAACAGAACTATTTTTGATATGAAAATCAAAACAATCCTTGAATAAAAGAACAGTAATGAAGGGCAGTTAATTAATGTGAAACTTTTTTTAAAATCAATATGCAAATTAGCAAAACCTGAAGAGTGATATTGCCTCGAATTAAATAAGTTATAATACAAATATTGAGCTTTTAGCATGTAAATTACTATAAAGTATAGCTGGGGATTTTTAATCTTGGAATTCGTGGGAGAATTGAGCTCCAATTTCACATTTATTTATATAGATTCCATAATATAGGTTTTACTTAATTAGCTATTTTTCTCTAACTCTTCAAATGTTGAATGTATAACTAATTCTATTTTCCCATCTTTGCACTATATTAATTTTATCTTATAAATTGTCCTGTTCTGTCACCCATGAAATAAAAACAAGAGTTTGTACGGAAAATAAGGACCCATGCACATCAAATTGCCTTTAAATCAAGTGGCAGCAGAAGAATTATTGTTGAACTTTTAAAAGCTAAGCTTAAACATTAATTCAGTACTTAAATGCAGCAATCAGTTTTGAGTTCTTCTGCAGTTTATTGATGCCTATCGCATCTACTCCTCTCTAGCTATTGTGATGATAGCCAATAAAGAGTTTTCCTCAGAAGCTAGCTTAAATATCGCCCAATGGCTTTTAAGCTAGTTTATAATAAAACATGCACTGCAATTTTGAATACAAAAGGAAAATAAGAGTTACTCTTCTTGAACCATGAAAGCAACAATAATGGCTAGTATAATATATTAATATATATTTTTAACCTCACATAATTTGGCAACCCTGAATCTGAGTGCAACAAAAATCATTCTCCGTGCGTAACTTTTATAGGGCTTTTGAATGAGCTATGAAGCATTGAAATCGGACCAGTGGGAGCGGAGGAGTTGCTTGGACACACACATACACTGTACCTTATATATATATATATTTTTTTTTTTTTTTTTTTTTTTAAGCATTTCACCCCAAGCAAGGCGGGAAGCCACTAGGACGCAAGGGGTTACAGAAAATAGGAAGATTAGATAGGAGTGATAGAAGAAAGGATGAGGGTAGTAGATAGATTAAGGCAACTGGAGATGTCGATTGACATTACACTTGAATAGCTGGAGATTATAACTCACAGGGAAACAGGAGAAGGGAAGAGAGTTCCACAGGCGAGAGGTGCGAGACATGAAGCTATTAGAGTAGAAGAGACGGCTACATTTAGGAGTTTCGACAGTGAAGGGGTGAGAGCGGGATGCCAGCCTATATATATAAGATGGAAATGCATTGCTAATGATTTTACTATAGGAATGCATTGAAAATCAGGAAGAAAGGGATTGTCAGTGGTCAGGAAGAAATGTAAGCATTAATGATTGAATAAGTGTATTATATGCATAATGTGAATACAGTATATTTAATTAACCAATTGCTTTTGCTACCTATTCATGTAAATTCATCATCACCTGGAAAATCAATTTTTTTTTTTCATCTTCTCTGAAAGTTAAAACAAAAATAAATTTATGATATTTTAATGGTTGATAGCTTACCAATCTTACAGGTGCCAGTCCTCCAGGAACAGATCTTTGGTAGCCGATAGTTTGAACCCTGCCTCGCATGCACTCATTCTCAAAAACTAATGGATCATAAGCTTCTTCTTCAGATATGGAATGGCTTAGAACACTCTTTGGATTACCTGAAAAATTTTAAATTTAAGCAAATTTAACATTTGGTGAAGTGTTGCAGATAACATTCATCTGAATATTCAAATATTTAGTAAAAACAAAAACTTTTTTTTTAATTAACCTTTTTCCTATAGATTTATAAATTTATACAACTGGTGTGTCATACCTAAGTTTTAAAAATCAATCTCACCAGGACATAGGTGTTCATGTCTCTCCACAGCTTCCTGTATTGTTGTTATTGGCAATATTATCTCCTTTATGGCAGCTTTCCTTTGCACAAACTTATCAAGTTGATTCCTTCTGTTTCTTTTATCTTCAATTTGTCTTTTGAGTGTTAAATTTTCCAGGCCTACTTTCCTTGTTATGTCTCAAAAGTTTCAGCTCTCTTTTTCCAACTGTTAGCAAGATTTTCTTGGTAGATCCTATTTTCCTTAGAACTTGCTCACTTGTTAAATGCTCTCGGAACATTTGTCAGTAGGACTAAATCACAGCTCCCTCAGGTTTTTTCTTAATCTGTCCCAAGGCTTATGGCCATATCATGTTGAAACATTGGTTCCACTACAATCACCAATATTAAGCAACAGCAAACCTTATTGGTACCTAGATGGGTGACCGCTTGGGAATACTGGGTGCTGTATGCTTGGATGTGTGGGTGGTATAAGGGGCTTACAACCATATGTTGAAACATTGGTTTCCGTACGATCATGAAAGTTAAGCAACATTAAGCGTGGTCAGTAACTTGATGGGTGACTGCTTTGGAATACCACATACTGTAAGCTTTAATGTGCAAAGTGATGCAATGGATAACAACTCGGAATTAAAAATCGTGCAGCTAAGTTCCAATTGGGTTTGTTATATTTCCTTACGCACAAATACCCTTGGGAAAGGTATGAATCCATCTCTTCTCCCCCCAACCTATGGGTTAATTAGTAGGATTTGTATCAGTAAATGATTATTATCCCCCTTCCCAAATTCTTACAATCCCAGAATATTTTCCGGTTTGATATAACCTACAAATGGTTGATATCCATAAAAAAAAAAAAAAAAAAAAAAAAAAAATCAATCATCCATCACAAATTTTCACTGTCACAAAAGATAACTGACATCACATGACAATCCAGCGCACTTGTCATTTTGATATTTTTCAGCCTCTTACGACCTGATTCAGTTTCTGAAAACTATCTTTCACTATTCATATGGCTTTTCAACTTTCCGTATCCTACTGTCATCACACTGCCCAAACAGTTGAATTTCTATCCTTATTTTAACATCCCCAATGTGTAAGTCACACCTTCAGCGACCCTTTTGCCGAGTACCATGCATAGTTTTCTTACAATTAATAGTCAATACTTTCTTCTTGCTTTCTCTATCTTATCTAAAGCTCCTTCGAAGTTAAGGTTATATTCAATGATAGCAAATCCTGGTGCTTCTAAATTTCTTACAATCATCTCAATGTATAAGAAAACACATTATCACGGTCCTCTTAAACAATTTACCTCTTTATAAAAAGCAATTATAGTTTTTAATATCAAAAGGTCCTAATTTGAACATTGTTGCATCTCACATTTTTGAGATAACAGAGAAATAAATAAGACAAACTCGTAGGTAAGTAATGAAAGAGAAGGTTTACTACACAAAGGTACATTTAGCAAATGACCTAATGCTAACTCAGCTTATTTACATAAACAAATGATTCCATTCATTTATGTCCTATATGAAAAACATACACCTGCAGTCTTTGGTCATTTTTTAACTGACTGGTCATCTTTATCTCACAATGTGGTTTGATTTCCCTCTACATAGTTAACAGAAATAAAGTGGCCAATATGTTCCCATTCTCTTGGAAATTAAATATTTTATAGAACCTGTGATAGCTATTTTTTTTTCTTTTATATGGCATATCCATTCAGGAAATGGACAGTCATGAGTCTCCACAACTTCCTATTCTTTGTTGCTCTAAGCAATGTTTTTGTTTTTTTGGGTTTTTTTTACAGTGAGATTCACCTTGTACAAGGCCTAAGAGTCACTTGAGATAGAGTGTTACAAAGTGAGGAGTTAGCTAGATGGTAACCATGGTGGTCTGAAGTAACCTGAAGACTAATGAAGGCAGAAGGGGTTACATTATATGTATTATGTAAATGCATTGCTAATGATTTTATTATAGGAATGAATTGAAAATCAGGAAGAAAGGGATTGTCAGTGGTCAGGAATGAATGCAAGCATTACTGATAGAATAGGGCTATTATATGTATAATGTAAATGCATTGCTAATGATTTTACTATAGGAATGCATTGAAAATCGGGAAGAAAGGGATTATCAGTGGTCAGGAAGGAATGCAAGCATTACTGATAGAATAGGGCTATTATATGTATAAATGGAAATAAATTGCTAAATATTTTTTATAGGAATGCATTGAAATGAGGAAGAAAGGGATTGTCAGTGTTCAGGAATTAATGGAAGCATTACTGATGAATAGGGCTATTATATGTATAATGTAAATGCATTGCTAATGATTTTACTATAGGAATGCATTGAAAATCAGGAAGAAAGGGATTATCAGTGGTCAGGAAGGAATGCAAAAACGCATTACTGATAGAATAGGGCTATTATATGTATAAATGGAAATAAATTGCTAAATATTTTACTATAGGAATGCATTGAAAATTTGTCAGTGTTCAGGAATTAATGGAAGCATTACTGATAGAATAGGGCTATTATATGTATAATGTAAATGCATTGCTAATGATTTTAATATAGGAATGCATTGAAAATGAGGAAGAAAGGGATTGTCAGTGGTCAGGAATGAATGCAAGCATTACTGATAAAGAATAGGGCTATTATATGTATAATGGAAATGCATTAATGATTTTACTATAGGAAAAATGCATTGAAAACCAGGAAGAAAGGGATTGTCAGTGGTCAGGAATGAATGCAAGCATTACTGATAGAATAGAAGCTATTATATGTATAATGTAAATGCATTGCTAATGATTTTACTATAGGAATGCATTGAAAACCAGGAAAAAAGGGATTGTCAGTGGTCAGAATGAATGCAAGCATTACTGATAGAATAGAACTATTATATGTATAATGTATTGCTAATGATTTTACTATAGGAATGCATTGAAAACCAGGAAGAAAGGGATTGTCAGTGGTCAGGAATGAATGCAAGCATTACTGATAGAATAGGGCTAATATATGTATAATGTAAATGCATTGCTAATGATTTTACTATAGGAATAATTGAAAACCAGGAAGAAAGGGATTGTCAGTGGTCAGGAATGAATGCAAGCATTACTGATAGAATAGGGCTAATATGTATAATGTAAATGCATTGCTAATGATTTTTACTATGGAATGCATTGAAAACCAGGAAGAAAAGTTGTCAGTGGTCAGGAATGAATGCAAGCATTACTGATAGAATAGTGCTATTATATGTATAATGTAAATGCATTGCTAATGATTTTACTATAGGAATGCATTGTGAAAACCAGGAAGAAAGGGATTGTCAGTGGTCAGGAATGAATGCAAGCATTACTGATAGAATAGGGCTATTATATGTATAATGTAAATGCATTTATAATGATTTTACTATAAGAATGCATTGAAACCAGGAAGAAAGGGGATTGTCAGTGGTCAGGAATGAATGCAAGCATTACTGATAGAATAGGCCTAATATATGTATAATGGAAATGCATTGATAATGATTTTACTATAGAAATGCATTGACAATGAGGAAGAAAGGGATTGTCAGTGGTCAGGAATGAATGCAAGCATTACTGATAGAATAGGGCTATTATATGTATAATGTAAATGCATTGCTAATGATTTTACTATAGGAATGCATTGAAAACCAGGAAGAAAGGGATTGTCAGTGGTCAGGAATGAATGCAAGCATTACTGATAGAATAGGGCTATTATATGTATAATGTAAATGCATTGCTAATGATTTTACTATAGGAATGCATTGAAATCAGGAAGAAAGGGATTGTCAGTGGTCAGGAATGAAAAGCATTACTGATAGAATAGGGCTATTATATGTATAATGTAAATGCATTGCTAATGATTTTACTATAAAATGCATTGACAATTAGGAAGAAAGGGATTGTCAGTGGTCAGGAATGAATGCAAGCATTACTGATAGAATAGGGCTATTATATGTATAATGTAAATGCATTGCTAATGATTTTTACTATAGAAATGCATTGACAATGAGGAAGAAAGGGATTGTCAGTGGTCAGGAATGAATGCAAGCATTACTGATAGAATAGGGCTATTATATGTATAATGTAAATGCATTGCTAATGATTTTTTTTTAGGAATACAAAAACCAGGAAGAAAGGGATTGTCAGTGGTCAGGAATGAATGCAAGCATTACTGAAAATAGCTATTATATGTATAATGTAAATGCATTGCTAATGATTTTACTATGGGAATGCATTGAAAATCAGGATGAAAGGGATTGTCAGTGGTCAGGAATGAATGCAAGCATTACTGATAGAATAGGGCTATTATATGTATAATGTAAATGCATTGCTAATGATTTTACTATGGGAATGCATTGAAAATCAGGATGAAAGGGATTGTCATATGTATCAGGAATGAATTACAAACATTACTGATAGAATAGGGCTATTATATGTATAATGTAAATGCATTATGTAAAAATGATTTTACTATAGGAATGCATTGAAAACCAGGAAGAAAGGGATTGTCAGTGGTCGGAATGAATGCAAACATTACTGATAGAATAGGGGCTATTATATGTATAATGTAAATGCATTGCTAATGATTTTACTATAGAGATACGTGAAAACCAGGAAGAAAGGGATTGTCAGTGGTCAGGAATGAATGCAAAGCATTACTGATAGAATAGGGCTATTATATGTAAAATGTAAATGCATTGCTAATGATTTTACTATAGGAATGCATTGAAAATCAGGAAGAAAGGGATTGTCAGTGGTCAGGGAATGAATGCAAGCATTACTGATAGAATAGGGCTATTATATG